GGCGGTGGGGGGGAAGAAACGGCGACCGGGCACTGCTGTAGAAGCGAGTAGGGCGGCCGAGGCAGCACTTGTGGCGGACTATGTACCCGGCTGATGATGTTGTTGCGCCCTGTTTCCTTCCCTGTTGTATGCTATACTCCTTTGTGTATGTCCTTTGTATTGCCTTCGGCCTCTGNGTTACCCTTTGATTTTTTCTTTGGGCGGGTGTGGGAAGCGTCCTCCTTTACTTTTGTTTTTGTTTTATTTCGATCGGTTTCCGAGGGCTCTTTTCTCGAACGGTCGGTGCGATACCTGTTCTTTTCTTTCTATCATTTTGCTTTCTTTTTCCGAGTGATTTGTACCCTATTTTTGTTTTGTTTCCCCGCGGCGTTGTATGTGCCGGGTTTTGAGACCACGGGCTACCCATTTTATGTGCACTATAGAGCTAATGTGAGAAACAACAACAACAACAAACACACTCGCACCTTCTTCAGAGCTACAATGCTATTGGTCTGCTTGTCGACGGCTCGATAGACGGTGCCGTAGGCTCCCTCCCCTATCCGGTTCAGCCGCTCGTACGAGCTCACCTGTGCATACCGAACCAAGAGCAGGTGGAGGAGGGGGAGGAGGAGGAGGAGGAGGAGGAGAGACGAGGGGAAGCTTAACGCACCGAACAGGCCTAAACGAGGAAAATATTAGATTCGCAAGAGATGGCGAGCGTGCGTGCATGTGGGTGTACGATGAGGGTGTCATGTGGGCTTCTTGCCAGAGTTCCCGGCACACTCGTGAATCTATGCACGGATGTTAGGCGCTTTCACCACTTCATCGTTTCTTTCTCCACCGCTGTTTTTGCGAAGCAAGGCGTGTGATGATGTGTTGCGTACCATAGCCTTCCTGCCTGCAAAATGCTGTGATTGATCGCCTTCCCACCTCGTTTCTGCTGGGATGATATGCGACTCGTATGTATCCATATCTATGTACAACAGCTCTAGCATCCAATATACTACCCATGTAGTGGGTGCCGACAACGTGCGAACATGACATGTTGTTCTCGAGGAGCAAAAGACATCTCTCACCGGCCTGCACGCTCCGTACACCGTCATGGTGCCTGGAAACAGGTCCACGCTGGAAAAGTCCTCCGCGGCCGATGACATGGTTGTGGTGATGTGGCAATCCCCCCTTCAGGGCTAGCGAGCTGTCCCAGATCCGTCGTCGAAAGCTCCCATGCACGAAAACGACGATAGAGCTGTGTTCTGGGTTAAGTTCCCGCTATTGCCGTGTGCAAGATCAACAAGTCGTCTCCTCGTTAGCAGGGAGAGCACCGACAACAGCTGCAACTGTAGTAGCAAAAGGAGCTCGACTCCACACAAGCCTGGAGGACGACAAGAGGCGCCTCTGTCGGGCAGAGAAGAGGAGTGGAGGGCAGAGAGTAGAGAGCGAGAACAGCAGTAGCGGAAGCGCGGGGCCGCGATCGGGGAGTTCAATAGGTTCTGGCTGGATGTATAATATTTTTTTTATTTTTGTCTTCACTTCAAATCAGTGTTCACGGCAGTAGTGCCGTTCACTCCACTCCTTCGTCACGCAGAAGAGTCCCTCTCTACCCTCCCCTCCTGTGGTACTTTGCCTTCGATTTTCAATGCGAGAAGAGTTTAGCACTTCTCTTCCCTTTGTGTACACACGAACTAATACGGGTCGCCCCGGTGGCCTAGTGGTATCCTCGTAATCCGCTAGTTTGTCGCAGAGGTCGTGAGTTCGAATCCCCATGGGGTGAAAAATTTACGAAGTGTGCGGGTGAAAGCAAAATATAGCTGACAAGCTCTCGTGAGTACCAAACTTCGACGTTAGCACCGTTGACGAGGGAAAGGAACGACTGGACCATTCTCGGGATGAAAATAAAATTCAGCACGCACCGCAGGAGGAAGGTGGGGCATGAAAAGAAATAAAAAATAGAAAAAAGCCCTCTGGTGTTTACCCCCCTCCTGTGTGACCCTCGATGCGACCCGTATTAGTTCGTGTGTACACAAAGGGAAGAGAAGTGCTAAACTCTTCTCGCATTGAAAATCGAAGGCAAAGTACCACAGGAGGGGAGGGTAGAGAGGGACTCTCCTGCGTGACCACGGAGTGGAGTGAACGGCACTACTGCTGTGAACACTGATTTGAAGTGAAGACAAAAATAAAATTCAGCACGCATCGCAGGAGGAAGGTGGGGCATGAAAAGAAATAAAAAATAGGAAAAAGCCCTGGTGTTTACCCCCTCCTGTGTGAGACCCTCGATGGTTGTAGTTGCACGAAAATATGCACTGAAAAGTGTAGTACTCGACATACGCTGAAAAGTGTAGTACGTCTCACCACGAAAAATGGGGGGTAAATGGGACGAAAACACACACAACACACACGAACTATCGCCATCCACTAGGTCAGGAGCGGAAGCGAGAGAGAAACTCACTCTGCAAGAAAAGCTCGCGAGATTACCAACTAGATCACCGGGACGACCCGATCCCGTATGTCTTCCCGTCTTCAGAACCAAATCTCGGAACGGTATCTCAACGGACACTTTTACCAGTCGAGCAAGCTGCTGGGGGTACAGACGGTGCGCCCGCCTCGTTGTCGCCGGTTTTGTGCGCGTTCTGTGTCCACAAAACGATACTCGAGGTGGATGACCAGTGACGCAATACCCTCTCCGGTGGCAGCACCGCTCCTTTCAGGACAGACGACCGCCAGACGCGTCAACATATCCAAGGTTGNTGTTTCATCGATAAGACGGCAACAACAACAACAACAACAACAACAACAACAACAACAACAACAACCCATCTGTGCTACTTGCTGGCTTAGGTACCGTGCTGTGCTCGGTTTCTCACCCTTCCGTGATGCTGTAGGTGGGAGTGAAGGTGAAGGTGACTTCCGTCGGGTATCCAACCTCCGGGGGATCAAACGTCAGCTTCGTGTCGTAGAGCGCTGACACGAGTCGGTCGGGGGAAATGGGTCGAGGTGGAAGGTGTGGAATAATGCGGCTTGGAAATACCCCTTAAACAAAGTGGTTTTAATATTGTACCAATATCGCTTAGACAAGGCGGTTTTCACTACGTGCCTCATGAGATTGGGGAGGTCACCGCACCATGAAAGACGGCCTTATGCAGAGGATACATAGTCTACATGTTGACCTAGAGAGCCGCACAGAAAATTATTAAAATTTGAAATTTGAAATTTGAAATTTACATTTTGTAATCCTGCTACGTCGTGCCATAGAGTACTGCGGGAACCTCGCTCACCTTGCGCGGGCCCAAACATAGTGCAGCACGCGATGGATGTAGCAAAAAAGAAAGCCTTTCCCCCTACCGCCATCCGCTTGGGATTGGCCTTCCGTCGAAGGGAAGATCGAATCGTGCCTCGGACGCTAGCTCTCGCCGTTGTTGGCGGGGTCAAGTCCAGCGGCCGTGGCGAGGTTGATTGCGACGAAGGCGAGGGCGGGGGCAGGGGTGCGAAGGGGTCTTGGAAGTCACAGATGGGAGATGTCTCCTCCGTTCGCCGTATCCTCTTCTGCCGGGAGCTGAAGAAAGGAAGGCGAGGTATCAGGCGCACCCGTCTCTTCTCGGGTGCGACACCGTCGAGCTCGGGCTTCAATAGTCTACACCCGCTGCTGCTCCGACCGTTGTGGCTGCACGCCTCACTACCCTGCTCGACGTCGTCTCCAAGGGAACAAGCACCGTGACCATGTTCTGCAACAGCAGCAGGGAGGCTGGTTGCTTTGCGATAGCCACGCGGAAGCTTGTGCTGCAGGTGCCGATGCTCCTGGCGCTGCCGTTGCTGCTGTTGCGGCTGTTGCTGCCGCTGCTGCTGCACTTCTGTCGATTCCGCCTTCGCCGACGGCAGCGACCAAGTCACCGAGTTCGGATCGGACATCGACCGGGATCTTGTCGCCGTGCAGCAATCATGCCCGGAGCCACTGCTGCTGCCGTTGTTACTACTCACGCCCGCCGCCAGCATCAGTAGATCAGTGCTGTTGTTCGAGCTCAGCCAGGATGGAGGCACAAAGGCTGCGGCCGCGGCGGCCGCGGCAGCCGCCGCTACATCGTCCGCGCCGTGGCAGTCGGCACCAGCATCAGGGCGGCGCAGTTCGCCCGGTGCTGATGCAGAACGAGCTGCCGCCGTGGCTGTAGCCGACCGGGCATCGCCTACAGATTTCATGCGCCTGGATGGATTGCGGGGGCGGGGGTGGTACCGCCACGAATCGGTTTGGCGGAGCGCACGTCGAACTCTGTCCGTGCTGCTCCCTCTGCTGTTGGGTCCGCTGTTGTTGTTGATCCCATCGCTCCTGGCGCGTTTTGGGTACACCTGACAGCACTTTCCTTTGGGAGGGTATTGCGCCGCAGGTATCATATCGTGAAAATTTCAGTACAGGAATGGGGTCCGCGTAGCGTCTGCTCTCGCTCTCTCCGCCCCTCGTTGGTTGTCGGTGTCCCTGTCCTTCTCCGAACTTGTTGAGTGGTATCTGTTCCCACGTGTGATAGCTAAGAATCAATTCGAGCTCTGTGGGGCCCTCCTGTGCACAAAGGAACCCCACCGAATACATTGAATCGTGCGGCAACATCAGTGGAGGCATCCGGTTAGACTTTGCCTACTACTGCTGTTGCGGTATGCATAGACTATGCATCATACAGGCATCATACGCATGGTCTGTACATATGTTCCAACAAACGATATTTTCCTTTGTGTCCAGAGCTACATGCTGTAGATTTGTTTGACCTCGTGCATTCCTCGTTGGCTTGCCTGGGGAAGCGGCTTCTTAATGGACGCCTTCACTCAGAACAGCACACCTCACACTGAGCGTGCCCACGTACTTTGCATGCCTCCTACTCGGCGCTCGCACGCCAGTATATAGCCATATGGCCCGCGCTGGTGATATCTTTTTCCTAGAGGTTGGAAATCTCATACATGCCGTTTGGTTCATTAGAGCTCACCTCACAACCTTGGATATGTTGACGCGTCTGGCGGTCGTCTGTCCTGAAAGGAGCGGTGCTGCCACCGGAGAGGGTATTGCGTCACTGGTCATCCACCTCGAGTATCGTTTTGTGGACACAGAACGCGCACAAAACCGGCGACAACGAGGCGGGCGCACCGTCTGTACCCCCAGCAGCTTGCTCGACTGGTAAAAGTGTCCGTTGAGATACCGTTCCGAGATTTGGTTCTGAAGACGGGAAGACATACGGGATCGGGTCGTCCCGGTGATCTAGTTGGTAATCTCGCGAGCTTTTCTTGCAGAGTGAGTTTCTCTCTCGCTTCCGCTCCTGACCTAGTGGATGGCGATAGTTCGTGTGTGTTGTGTGTGTTTTCGTCCCATTTACCCCCCATTTTTCGTGGTGAGACGTACTACACTTTTCAGCGTATGTCGAGTACTACACTTTTCAGTGCATATTTTCGTGCAACTACAACCATCGAGGGTCTCACACAGGAGGGGGTAAACACCAGGGCTTTTTCCTATTTTTTATTTCTTTTCATGCCCCACCTTCCTCCTGCGATGCGTGCTGAATTTTATTTTTGTCTTCACTTCAAATCAGTGTTCACAGCAGTAGTGCCGTTCACTCCACTCCGTGGTCACGCAGGAGAGTCCCTCTCTACCCTCCCCTCCTGTGGTACTTTGCCTTCGATTTTCAATGCGAGAAGAGTTTAGCACTTCTCTTCCCTTTGTGTACACACGAACTAATACGGGTCGCCCCGGTGGCCTAGTGGTATCCTCGTAATCCGCTAGTTTGTCGCAGAGGTCGTGAGTTCGAATCCCCATGGGGTGAAAAATTTACGAAGTGTGCGGGTGAAAGCAAAATATAGCTGACAAGCTCTCGTGAGTACCAAACTTCGACGTTAGCACCGTTGACGAGGGAAAGGAACGACTGGACCATTCTCGGGATGAAAATAAAATTCAGCACGCACCGCAGGAGGAAGGTGGGGCATGAAAAGAAATAAAAAATAGAAAAAAGCCCTCTGGTGTTTACCCCCCTCCTGTGTGACCCTCGATGCGACCCGTATTAGTTCGTGTGTACACAAAGGGAAGAGAAGTGCTAAACTCTTCTCGCATTGAAAATCGAAGGCAAAGTACCACAGGAGGGGAGGGTAGAGAGGGACTCTCCTGCGTGACCACGGAGTGGAGTGAACGGCACTACTGCTGTGAACACTGATTTGAAGTGAAGACAAAAATAAAATTCAGCACGCATCGCAGGAGGAAGGTGGGGCATGAAAAGAAATAAAAAATAGGAAAAAGCCCTGGTGTTTACCCCCTCCTGTGTGAGACCCTCGATGGTTGTAGTTGCACGAAAATATGCACTGAAAAGTGTAGTACTCGACATACGCTGAAAAGTGTAGTACGTCTCACCACGAAAAATGGGGGGTAAATGGGACGAAAACACACACAACACACACGAACTATCGCCATCCACTAGGTCAGGAGCGGAAGCGAGAGAGAAACTCACTCTGCAAGAAAAGCTCGCGAGATTACCAACTAGATCACCGGGACGACCCGATCCCGTATGTCTTCCCGTCTTCAGAACCAAATCTCGGAACGGTATCTCAACGGACACTTTTACCAGTCGAGCAAGCTGCTGGGGGTACAGACGGTGCGCCCGCCTCGTTGTCGCCGGTTTTGTGCGCGTTCTGTGTCCACAAAACGATACTCGAGGTGGATGACCAGTGACGCAATACCCTCTCCGGTGGCAGCACCGCTCCTTTCAGGACAGACGACCGCCAGACGCGTCAACATATCCAAGGTTGTGAGGTGAGCTCTAATGAACCAAACGGCATGTATGAGATTTCCAACCTCTAGGAAAAAGATATCACCAGCGCGGGCCATATGGCTATATACTGGCGTGCGAGCGCCGAGTAGGAGGCATGCAAAGTACGTGGGCACGCTCAGTGTGAGGTGTGCTGTTCTGAGTGAAGGCGTCCATTAAGAAGCCGCTTCCCCAGGCAAGCCAACGAGGAATGCACGAGGTCAAACAAATCTACAGCATGTAGCTCTGGACACAAAGGAAAATATCGTTTGTTGGAACATATGTACAGACCATGCGTATGATGCCTGTATGATGCATAGTCTATGCATACCGCAACAGCAGTAGTAGGCAAAGTCTAACCGGATGCCTCCACTGATGTTGCCGCACGATTCAATGTATTCGGTGGGGTTCCTTTGTGCACAGGAGGGCCCCACAGAGCTCGAATTGATTCTTAGCTATCACACGTGGGAACAGATACCACTCAACAAGTTCGGAGAAGGACAGGGACACCGACAACCAACGAGGGGCGGAGAGAGCGAGAGCAGACGCTACGCGGACCCCATTCCTGTACTGAAATTTTCACGATATGATACCTGCGGCGCAATACCCTCCCAAAGGAAAGTGCTGTCAGGTGTACCCAAAACGCGCCAGGAGCGATGGGATCAACAACAACAGCGGACCCAACAGCAGAGGGAGCAGCACGGACAGAGTTCGACGTGCGCTCCGCCAAACCGATTCGTGGCGGTACCACCCCCGCCCCCGCAATCCATCCAGGCGCATGAAATCTGTAGGCGATGCCCGGTCGGCTACAGCCACGGCGGCAGCTCGTTCTGCATCAGCACCGGGCGAACTGCGCCGCCCTGATGCTGGTGCCGACTGCCACGGCGCGGACGATGTAGCGGCGGCTGCCGCGGCCGCCGCGGCCGCAGCCTTTGTGCCTCCATCCTGGCTGAGCTCGAACAACAGCACTGATCTACTGATGCTGGCGGCGGGCGTGAGTAGTAACAACGGCAGCAGCAGTGGCTCCGGGCATGATTGCTGCACGGCGACAAGATCCCGGTCGATGTCCGATCCGAACTCGGTGACTTGGTCGCTGCCGTCGGCGAAGGCGGAATCGACAGAAGTGCAGCAGCAGCGGCAGCAACAGCCGCAACAGCAGCAACGGCAGCGCCAGGAGCATCGGCACCTGCAGCACAAGCTTCCGCGTGGCTATCGCAAAGCAACCAGCCTCCCTGCTGCTGTTGCAGAACATGGTCACGGTGCTTGTTCCCTTGGAGACGACGTCGAGCAGGGTAGTGAGGCGTGCAGCCACAACGGTCGGAGCAGCAGCGGGTGTAGACTATTGAAGCCCGAGCTCGACGGTGTCGCACCCGAGAAGAGACGGGTGCGCCTGATACCTCGCCTTCCTTTCTTCAGCTCCCGGCAGAAGAGGATACGGCGAACGGAGGAGACATCTCCCATCTGTGACTTCCAAGACCCCTTCGCACCCCTGCCCCCGCCCTCGCCTTCGTCGCAATCAACCTCGCCACGGCCGCTGGACTTGACCCCGCCAACAACGGCGAGAGCTAGCGTCCGAGGCACGATTCGATCTTCCCTTCGACGGAAGGCCAATCCCAAGCGGATGGCGGTAGGGGGAAAGGCTTTCTTTTTTGCTACATCCATCGCGTGCTGCACTATGTTTGGGCCCGCGCAAGGTGAGCGAGGTTCCCGCAGTACTCTATGGCACGACGTAGCAGGATTACAAAATGTAAATTTCAAATTTCAAATTTCAAATTTTAATAATTTTCTGTGCGGCTCTCTAGGTCAACATGTAGACTATGTATCCTCTGCATAAGGCCGTCTTTCATGGTGCGGTGACCTCCCCAATCTCATGAGGCACGTAGTGAAAACCGCCTTGTCTAAGCGATATTGGTACAATATTAAAACCACTTTGTTTAAGGGGTATTTCCAAGCCGCATTATTCCACACCTTCCACCTCGACCCATTTCCCCCGACCGACTCGTGTCAGCGCTCTACGACACGAAGCTGACGTTTGATCCCCCGGAGGTTGGATACCCGACGGAAGTCACCTTCACCTTCACTCCCACCTACAGCATCACGGAAGGGTGAGAAACCGAGCACAGCACGGTACCTAAGCCAGCAAGTAGCACAGATGGGTTGTTGTTGTTGTTGTTGTTGTTGTTGTTGTTGTTGTTGCCGTCTTATCGATGAAACAGACTGGTATTCACACGACTAAAAAGCGCCGGCACGCAGCGTACGTAAACCGGTGCGGGGGAAGGGGGTGGCAGAGCGAGCCCTTTGTCTGGAAACCTGAAAAGCGATAGACATCGAAGTAACTGCACCGTGGGGGTCCTGATGTGCGCGTGTTTGTATATCAAGCTACGCTCCCGCAACAGCCGAAGAGAACAACCAGCCGTTGTGTGTGTTCTTCTGTAGTCCCGGGCACCCGATGGTAGTTGAACGGTGCCATTTTCGGCGCTTCCGTGCCAGGGTAAGGAACGCCGTATGATTGCCGATCCCCTCGCGCGGAGAACATTTGTTGGAACAGATTTGTGCGCGAAAAGCTGGAGCCAGCTCGACTGTGCACCCGAGCGAGATGAAGCAACCCCCGTGCTTTCCCATCGTGCTCGGCAGAACTTGCCGCAGTCGTGCCCTAGTTCTAGCCTTTGATTGAGACCATCACTGACCACGCAACTCAGCTGGAGGAGAAACCTCTGACCCTGCCGTTTATGAGTCCTGTCGAAGTTGGCGTATGCTCCACACCATGTGTTCTTGTTGTTCCTTCCCATTTTCTCCCCGTATACGTTCCATGCGTGACTCGCGGAGCCACCCGCGTGCTCCCATTAAGGGGCAAGGCCTGCTGTAGACACTGCCATTTTGGAGAAAGGGCGGCGCGAGCAAGTGCGACCAAATATCCTGCGTGCTGCCGCGCAACTGCTGCTACGTGTCCGGTGAAGCTGGCTTTGGGCGTGCGTTAGTCTCCCTCGCGACGAGGGATGAGGAAAAGAAAAAAGTACTCCGCCAAGAAACAAAATAATGCGGCACACCTCCGAAATTCCCCCCTTACCATTAAACAACTAGTTCCCGTGTTATACACACCAGAAACTAGATATTCAACTCCGAACACACTCTCAGCCAGAATTCACTCTCGTTGTACAACCTTCCAAAACCAGGAAGTTCATTCGGCTGATCCTGGCGGGTTTCACGAGAGGCGAGCGAAACGGCATGGCCGGGGAGGACTTTGGGTTCGCTAACGAGGAAGACGAGGGGAACTTTGGCTTCGGCTGGCCCTCCGACACGTGAGACACACACGTGGAAACACCCACCCTGACACTGATGCTGCTGCTGCTGCTGCCGGCGCTGCTACAATATATGTATAATATCGTCTAGCACACATACATACGGGGACGTAGGAAGGTCAGGCCGTGCGGAAAATTTGATGGATGGTGATTCCTGCTGCAAATGTCGTAATTACATCGACAAGAACTCTCGTTCTATTCCAGCAACATTCTCGTCTTTCTCTACACTAGTTCTTGTGCTTATGCTTGGGCCTGCTGGAAGGAGGGAAGGCCTGGCACGGGAAGGAGGTCGAGGTCGTACGTTCACGCCCCGCCGCCATCATCGCCTGTGCAACCATAGCCATAACTGTACTTGAGTTGATGTTTTCTTCAAGGCTATATTTTCATCTTACGCCACCAGCGCCCCTCCAAGAGTGTGTTGATGTTGACAACCCCGATTAAACACCGAGACTCCAAGACTGTGCGCGCTGAGGTCATCCGCAACACAGGAATGGTTGGATGTGTTGCTGTCGTGCTTTGGCGAGTATCATTCTCAGTTTTGAAGACGCATTAAAAATCGTGTGCCTTGTTTCGGCGATGGTTATGGTTAGGTGTGTTGGTTTCTTTGCTTGTTACTGTTTTTTTTCGGGGGAGTGTTTTTTTTTTATTTTTTTTCAGCTTTAGGAACACTATAAATACACACCCCGTCGCTTGCAGGTTCAGGGGTTGGTGGAGCGAGGGCACGCCGGAAGAGGAGTACGAGGACAGCGTATTCAGCCTCTACACGACCAAGACCCTCGACGCCGACGTCAGCTACACGGCCATCATCGACCGTATGTCCGGCCTCAAGTCCAGCTGCGGCCACCCGGTGAGTCTTGTTGCCGCAGAGCCCTGGTGCTGAAGGGATCCAGGACCAGGGTGAGGGTGAGGGAAATTGAAATCAGCGAGCGAACGGGCGGTCGTATGCATTGAAGGAAAGGTCGCAGTTCTTGTCGATGCGCGTTCAAAAGCGACGTTTTCATCTCTATATAACACGAGTTTTTCGCCTCCCTCTCCTGTAGGCCGGAGTCTAACAGCCACCACCACTGGCCGCACAAGCTGTTCGAGTGGGTGATGGGGGTACGTAAGATAAGGTTTGGTGGGTAGCCCTGCCATTTCCCCGGGTGTTAGCATCCTTCAAGTGAACGGCGCCGGCCATGGGTCGCACGGTCGGGTCGGTTTGTCGTGCTTGCTCTCGCTGTTAGCTCGAGGAGCGCTCAGCGGCCCCTCATCCCCAAGCGTACCCCGGAAGGTTCCCCTCGAAACGTGTACGCTCCCACACAATGCTTCAGCTCTCTCTCTCTCTCTCTCTCTCTCTCTCTGCCTTCCGTTATGACCGAAATTCCAGCCCATTCTGCAGGTTTGGATGGTTTGCTGCCCCAGCTGTGGTGGCGGTTGTCGCTAGCGCCGTTGTCGCCGTTCGCTATCTTTGTCGCTGACTTACTAGCGTTCCCGTAACGTCCCGGCTCTCGTAGGGATGCGAGGTCAATCGACTGCGGCATGCATGGCTGTGAGTACACCCCCCCCCCCCNGCTCCCACACAATGCTTCAGCTCTCTCTCTCTCTCTCTCTCTCTCTCTCTGCCTTCCGTTATGACCGAAATTCCAGCCCATTCTGCAGGTTTGGATGGTTTGCTGCCCCAGCTGTGGTGGCGGTTGTCGCTAGCGCCGTTGTCGCCGTTCGCTATCTTTGTCGCTGACTTACTAGCGTTCCCGTAACGTCCCGGCTCTCGTAGGGATGCGAGGTCAATCGACTGCGGCATGCATGGCTGTGAGTACCCCCCCCCCCCCCGTAACTGACACGCGCTTGGCCGGTTCCGCGACAAATACAACAGGCAAACCATTCGGCTTTCTACGCCTGGGTCGACGACACGACGACGTTCTACAAGATGTTCGGGAAGGTTGACTGGACCATCCGGGAGACCGAAGAGATTCCGATGAGCTGCTACGTGGCCCCGGCCACCCTCACGTAAGTTCGAACACCGGTTCGCCGCAGCCTGTGGGGCGCGCTCGCTTAAGAGGGAGAGATCGAGCACTGGGAAGCACGAGTTTTTTTTTGCAAACGGATCGTCGTTGATGGGATTACTCCGTCCTACCTCCTCCTTTCCTAACTAGCGCTTCGGTTGGGGTTAGCCATAGTCTGGTACGGACGGCTCACCCCCCACCTTCCCACACTTAAGGGTGTTGCCGACAACTATTTCCTTATTCTCACCAACGACCGCCTCCGCTGATAGCTTTTGCCACTTTACCGTTCTGGACGTGGTGGTGGTGGACGTGGTCGTTGCTGTTGTTTTTGTCGTTGTTGCTGGCAGTGTTACCGAACGCCAGCCTTGGGCCTTCTACTGTTCGATGCTCGGTCGCAGAAATCAGGACGGTTTAAGTATGCTTCTCACGAGCGAGTTAGATAGCTGGCTCCCTCAGAGCAGGGCCCCAATAACACCACTCTCTCCCCCCGCAACCACAAACCACGCCGGAGTGTAGCACATCTCTCACAAGGCATCCCACATAGCCCACGCTTGGAGCAACGACCCGGACGACGGTAGGATCAGTATCAGATCTTCCTGTGCTATTTGTGTGGTCGCGCTCTTTGCGGAATCCTCAGGTTCGATCCCCCTCTCCCCCAGACAATGACCCACATCACCGTTGGCTTCCAGCCAGCCAGAGACCTCGTAGCGGGGGACAACGTCACCGTGAACCTCAAGGTGCGGCATCCCGTACCGGCATTCCATTCCGCGGAACAGCGACGGCGCCACGCGTGCGGACTACGGTAGTTGAATCCACGAAGAAAACTGGCGTGCAGAAAAATTAACAAAACAGCAGGGGTGTGTCGGAGAGAAGAAATACACCGTAAGTGACTCATGCACGTCTTTTTTGCCCGATCCCAAATGGCCGTTCCCGTGGATGAAAATCAAAGCAAGTCCATGAAAGAACACTCTCCGGTTGACACCCAAGTTGCATGTTGTATTGGTGGACTAGACTGTGCGCCGAGAAGTGAGGTTTGGTAGAGGCTACGGTGTGCTTGACGCGAAAAATTTCAACAGAGATTCCGCGCGGTTTTGGTTGTTTGTGTACACACGGCTTCTATTTTATCCGTAGCAACTGCTACAGATAGGGATAATCAATAGCGTTCGGGCCAGGATGCCTTTTAGAGGAAAGCGGGCGCGGATGTCAGCGCACCAATGAGAGAGGAAACGTAAATGGTTGTCCTAGGCAAGTACGATGCATAGTCGTCGTAAAACCTCCCGCAATGGTCGTTTATCAGAGAAAAACCAAAGCGTTCGTGTGTTCTCGGGGTCGGGTCGCAACAAATATTGTCGTGGGACAGGGTTTCACTTCGGGGGAGGGGAATGGGACCGAGGGGAGAGATTTCCTGTACGGAGACCTGCTGCTTGCCGGCGAATCATCCAACGGAAGCACCTGGCTCGCGTCCTGGGAAGAGGGCACATACGTGGAGGGCGAGGTAAGAGAGAAGCCTGTCGCTAGGTCATTCTGAGGATTGCACAAAACACAGATGAGACCATGACCGAGGCCGCCTTATTGAAAAGAGAGATCGGGAATAGCCAACGACTTCGTCGAGAATATCTTGACAAGAATCGAACGTTCTTGGGGGCTGCAGCAGCGCCTTCTTTCGGGGTGGTTTTGAAAGCCGAGTCCCGGCATTAACTTATTGACACTTCACGCACCGTACTAAATCGCCGCCACTGCCACCGTTCCAAAAGCCACATCCAGAAACAGAAACGGAATACCACGCGCCCCGACGAGGAGACAGAAGTACCTTTCGCAACCATGACCCATCTAGGACATCACTACTGTAGTTTCCGCCCGCACCTGAGACCTTGGGCAGTTTCATGTTTGTATGAATTTGAGAGCCTCGAAAAACTGTAAGTTGAGGGACTCGAGCACCACTTGTGAGTTTCGGCTGAGAACCCCATACGAACACTGACGCGTATGTCGCGGCCGTTCGTAGCACAGACGTGCTTAGGAACGAAACGTATGAGTGCGGGCGCTAGCCGAGCTGCAGATACATCGGCAGCGCCATCGAGAGAACCGACTGCCATCGAGAAAACAAACGGGTCTATCCCCAGAGGAAGGGGACATTGCTTGATCCGAAGCCATGCACGCCCACCTGTTTCACAGCGGCAGCGTCCGTTTCAAACCAAGATTCGTATGGCAGATTGTTTTCCTCCTTGGAAATACTGTTGTATTTCGGGAGAGAGAAAGGGGAGACTGAGAGGGTAGAGTCCACATCATGCTTCATGGGACATTCGACTCTTCCTTATTCCGTTTCCGATATCTGGATTCGTCTCATATCCGAGACTCCCCTTTGAAACCACTGCCGCTGCTGTTGCCCCGCGCCCGACGCCTGCCTTCTTACGACCAACCCGTTGGCGGGGGAAAACATTGGAAAACAGCGGGGGTACGAAGACTCGATGCTTCGGCTTCAGGCCTTAGCGCCAGTGCCGGCGGGGGAACTGCACGAGGTCACGGTCTACAGGAGCAACGGGATACGGGCACAGGTTAGGTTTGCACGGCAGACGTGAATGTGTGCCCCCGACGCCACGGCGGCAGGCAGGAGACAAAAAAACATCGAGGGTACACACCCTAAAAACCTCCGGACTGTCGAAGTCTAACTGTCAAGATGAACTTAATCTGCTGACTGTAGATAGCAACGAGCGAAAAAACGTCTTTCGCCGGCTCTCCCTATTTACCCAGTCAGGAACCCTTTCCAATGGTGTAATCAGGGTACAATCAGGTGTGATTGTTTCAGTGCGGTGCGCTAAGTTGTATCCGATGTTTTTTTATGTCATACCTCCCCTTCCCCCCCAGTACCCTGCCTGCCTCTTAAGCGGGTGCTTCATCCGTGCTTTCATCGAACACACTCAAACAGCCCGGCGCCCCGGTTGGTCTAGTTGGCATCCTCGAAACCTTCTAGAGGTCAGGTCAGGGGTTCGAATCCCGGCGTAAGCGAGCTTATCTCGCAAAGTGAGTTTCTCTCTCGCTTCCGCTCCTGGCTTAGTGGATAGCGCTAGTTCGTGTGTACACAGAGGGAAGAGAGTGATGAACACTTCTCGCATTAAAAATCGAAGGCAAAGTACCGCAAGAGGGGAGGGTAGAGATGAACTCTTCTGCATGACCACGGGTTGGAGTAAACGGCACTAGTGCTGTGAGCATTAATTTGAAGTGAAGACGAAAAAAAAATAATAATACAGCAGGCTTGAGGCCAATTTCCCTTCCAAAGGCTCATACATTTGAACTCATATCAGAATATTGTCCGTTGCCTGTCGATGACCTTTCGTTCTCTCCAATTGGCCGTCTCGCTCGGTCACTCCCCGTACCACCCGTTCTTTCATCGTCCAGCGAACACTTTGGTGGCGCAATAAGCATACTGTCCACTGGTCGATAAATCACCGTCAACGTTGCTTCTTGAAGTTCTTCAGCTCTTACGACCAACACGGCGCTCGCTGCTCCTTCGTCAACGGGTCTCGTTTTCGTTTCTTGCTTGACCTGCCTGTGTCAACAGTGCGGGATGGGTGAGAACGAAACCACCTCGACCATCTCGGTGGTGTCGGCCTCCGACCCTCCTTGGAACTCTACCGGGGAGTTCACATTTTCGCAAGCGGTCGGGCCCGGCTGCCGAGAGCTCAACTACTGCTCCGGACAAGGTGTTTAGTTGTTGTCAACGACCAGGAAACACAAGTCATTCCCGAAAACCCGGGATTAGAGTGAAAGTTCCTGTCGATGTTTGGAGTAGTACTCACGCGCCGGTTGTGGTACTATTTCCCTCGGTAGTGAATCCCGTCCTTCGAAAGCAACGTGTGAAAGCCACGCGTGCTTTCGGGCTTAATTCAACGGGGAGTTTGCTCCGAGGACATGCATCGTAGGTCCACCTGTGTTGTTGTGTCAATTGTGTGCGAAGGAGCATCGCACGGCAAAGCCACCGGCAAGAGATGAAAATTAAGTCACGTACATATCAGAGAGAGCACCTGGAGCTAGGCGGCTGGCGCCTCGTGTGGCGCCTTCCGCCATTCATGACGCACGTTGCTCCCTGGCCTTGGACTTCTCCCCAACTGCCGGGGTCCCGTCCGTCACGGCTACACGCACGCCTAATTAGTGTCTATTCACGTCAAATATTCTCGTACTACTGTGTGTGCTGCGTGTGTAACCGTTTCTGTTCGATCTTCGGCGCCGCGTCCTTCCCTTGCGCTCCCCACCCGCCACCTGTTCGTTCGTTTTCACAGGAGAGTGTGACTATTGCCGCCAAAGGTGCGACTGCCCCGAGGGGTTTGGGTCCCCGTCCGAGTTGCTGCATGCGCCGGACGTCGCTCGAGACTGCTCGGAGATGACGTGTCCCTCCGGCGTGTCGTGGGGTCCAGTGCTTGCCGGGTGAGACGCGTCGCCAAAATATTGTAGTTGGCCGCGCCATTCATCTTTCCTTCAGATCCAAGATCGTTTGTGATGAGTCTTTCACTATGGGCGTCGGAAGGCGGAAATGTGGAAAGCGTCCGGCAATCTTGCAGCCGAATGGAAAGGATATGGGACTCGTTGCCTCTCCCGCAAACTCGGGTTCGGACCCTCTAGTCTCATTCCCGTTCTGCCGACCCTCGACGGCGGTGGCGGCGAGCAGGTCACCCCGGCCTGATCCAGAGACTTCCCACGCGATGGCAGAGTGCTCCAACATGGGAACCTGCATCCGCAGCTTCGGGATATGCCTGTGCGAAACGGGCTACGCGGGGCGGGCCTGCGAGAGGCAAGCCGACATTCATATCGACATGCAGCCAAGTGTTTCTCAACCAAAGTACATGCTGACCAGACCCCAACGTGGAAGCACAACCACGGTTCGTCGTACGGAGGCACAGCTAGCTACCACCACGACGTAGAGGCCGCTCGAGCGGCGCCGCAGTTATAGTCGAACGACGCGGTACATTCGGTTGATATGTTCTACATGCATCCTCAGGGCGGGCGACGCTGGCGAGAGCCTTGTCGCCCAATGGGATGACGCGGTAGAGTGTTTGTTTCTCCGACATTGGCACACTGCAGTTGCGAACAGAACCCCCAATGACTGCGCGTTCTTGCACACCTGTTTTCCTGTGAAACAAATGAAGCTTGTATCGACCTGGGTTTGCCTTCGCCACCGCGATCTTTCTGTGTGTTTGATTCGATTCAACATGTTGTTTACAGAACGTAGAGACTGCTTCACCCCGCCCGCCGTGTCCTGTCGAGGACTCGTGGTCAACGGTCTCACCGCTCAGGCATGCAAGTTAAACGAGAGTACGCCCCCCCCCCCGCCACCGCTCTTCCTGCTGACAATCCGCTAAATATCAGGTACGCCTGTCCCGAGGACTGTTCGGGGAACGGCGCGTGCCGCAACATGCGCGAGATGGGGATGATGCGCACGGCGGAGCCCCTGGTAAACTCCTCCACCGAAGCTTCTTCTTCGAGTCGGGGGGACTCCGCGGATGGGTTCGAAGTGGTATACGGGTGGGACTCGCCGGAGGGGACGGCGACGTGGGAGTCCCGGTCTATGTTTGGGTGCGTCTGCGACTCTTCTTGGGAGGTGAGGTTGAGAACACTGCCGATAAAGATACTGCAGATTTTGTGCTGCAGTAGAAAGGCGTGGTGATCGGGCGGGTAGTTCGCTGTGTGGTAGGTGGCCGTTGATCGACCCCCGAGCGAGATCACTTTGCTCGAAGGAGCAGCACATGGACCATGCGGTGTACCCTCTGGTATAGACAGCCAGAAGAGTTTGCTTCTGATATCCATGAATATGGTCCCGTTACGTTTGGACGTCATTCGGCAATTGTATCATGGCGAGATAGAAATCCAAACAAGGTCCACTGGGGGTTGCTCATGTGGTTGGGTGTGCAGTCGGCGGGGCGGCGACTCGAACGGAGGGGACACACAGAACGGTCTTCGAGAAGAGTGAAAATAGCGCCGCGATGGACGAGAGCTGCTTCTAGCCACCGTTTTGCGTCGAATCTGTGTAGGTCACAGAGAATGGCAAGTGTTGATATTTCAAGCTGGCGCTCAAGCCGTCCTGCATCGTTCCATTGCAACTTTGATTTTTGCGGCGCGCAATGAACGACAAGGTGGGGCTGGGGCGAGGTCAGACCCAGCAAGCGCAGTACTTCGGGCCGGACTGCTCGATGTTGCACTGCCCGACCGGGGACGATCCTGGTAAGGCTATTAAGTCGCGTGAATGGGTGAGTGAGAGTATCGCAACGCGTTATCGCCTCAGACTTTGTCTGTCACTGTGTTTCGCGTGGTGCCAGAAACCCCCCAGGTTGCGGTGTCCATGATCAATTTGCGGAACTACATCTACCGGGAGTTGAGGGGTGGGATTTCAGCACTATCCATGCGTGCGATTTGGCTTCGCTCGACACGGACTGGTGATCCCGCTGCGAGGACGATGTAAATAGTATTCATACTTTGCATTATGAGGTTCACTTCCGCCGTAAACGCACCATCGCCCATATGGTATTAATTAAGCGCAACTGGTGAAAAAACCGCTCGCAGCAACAGCGACAATGTGCCTGCCACCACCCAATCTTACTGACGATGCTTTTGTCGCAACCTGTCTGGTTTCCTCGCAGATACGCTAATCGACGAAACGGACTGTGAAAATAAAACTGCCGATGGCGGGCGAGGGGTAGGATCAGCAGGAAACCTGTGAGAAAACAGACAAGCAATCAGGGAGTCGTAGAGTGAATATCATTGCACATACTGAACCTCGGAATGAAGATGAAGATTGGGGAGTTTTTTTGAAACGTCCCCATTCCCGGGACAGACCACGGCGAGATGAACGACAAGCCCAGATAGATCCAATGATTTCAGGCTTGCAGTGTTGCTTCCAACAATCTGCAGAACAAGTTCTTTTCCGTTCTGTGGCCACCACGTCTTCCATCTGCATATTGGGACGGAAGCATAGAATGTCGTTCGGCGGATTGCTGCCGTTTCTCGGTATATGAGTGAACCGGTGTGTCAATGCAATTCACTTTTATGACCACAGTCATCGACCGTTTTTGGACTGCATTTCCGCCGGCGACGAGAATACAACGTAGTGCCTGCCGCAGATTTGCCTTTGAACGTATGCACGCCAAGAAGACAGCTGATCGATGTTGCTGCTTGCGGACCGTTCTTCACGTTGAGCGAAACAACAGACTCTACAGCAGTAGACTACCAGTCCAGCCGATTCACTCCGTTGGCTGTCAAATCGGCAGATGCCATGTGGATTGCTCGAATCGCGGAATCTGCGACTACACGACTGGCGTGTGCAGCTGCTTCGACGGCTACCATGGACAGGTGCGCTAACAACGATAACTTGGTGCAGATATGCCGAACCCTGGCTGTGGGATGTGCCCTGTGATGCTTGGAATGCAACGGAAGGGCCGGTGCCTAGTCTACTAAATTTATTTGGGGTGATGACGCAGCAACCAACAAGTGAAACGGAAGCGACTGCCGATAGCCACCCACCCTCGCTGCTGTTAGGTTCGGAGGCATAATGTCATTGCATTGTACACGAGGAATGGCAGAAACCGGAAGATCCTATCCTGGATTGTTTACTCCCGGAAAGAGGCCGGATTGGCTCGTTCGGTTCGGTATGCACATGTACCATGTACATGCCGACATTTTTTTGTCCTCCCACTATTGGACCTTGTCGTCTGCCCCTCCGGCCCCCATCCTCCACTTCTACTAGCTAGACGACCCAACCGGGTCACATAAGAGAGGGGGGCTGGACCCCCTCCTGCGGTTCCTGCCTGAGGTATTTTTATCGCGAGAAGGGTACAGCAATCCCTTCCCTCGCGACTTATGAAGTCGATCAAGTTTACTAACAACGAGCTTTCCAGCGAGTCGCTTCCAACGTAGACAGGGTTTATTTAGACTAGTGAGTACAAAACTCACTCTGCTGGGACTCGAATCCATGACCTTGTCCTTACTGAGCGGTGAGGGTATCCACTCGACCACCGGGGCGACCATTTTTACTGGGGTAATATCTGGTGTTTCATGACTCCGGAATCTTGTGACATCAAACACAGGCGTGCAACAGCAAGCAAAGCGACGGCTACGGCTTCAACACCGTCGGTTTGTAGCGCGTACGGACGATCAAGCGACAAACTCGGGCGGGAGACAAGGGACAGAAGAACCCTCCTGCGAGGACCCGGGTGACCCGAGAAGGGCTGAAGCCTTCTCTTCGCCGCAGGCAGCTTGCTTGAGTAATCGTCGTCATTAGGGTCCTGCCGGTACTGCCAGGCGCAGCCTTGATGTTTCAGGGCGTCCTGTACTGTTTTGCATTTTGTTGGATGTGTATCTCATACGATCTCGCGTTCGTGCTTCGAGAATGCTTGTGAAATTGGAGGTGGATTTGGCTGCTGCTTCGTGTGTACATGGTGATCGCTTCCGTGTGTTTGGAACACCACGTTGGAACTGCGGCGCTAATTCGTCCGGACTACATGAGCAAGCCAACGCTTGCATTTGCTACGATCACTGGTCTAACGCGCGTACTCCACGCGTTTGATGATGCTCCTAGCTTCAGCAGCCATGGCCTTCATCGCGTTTGTAGTTTACTGCGGGAAATTCGTCGGTTATGCATTGAATCATGGCAGGAGGGACGGATGGCGCAAGAGGCACAATATATTTAGAGATTTTAAAGTAAAATTGGTTGTTAATCGTGCATTGATGCATGGGCTGGGTGTGCGGCGGTCGGGGCGAGAGTTCCACTATAATGTCAAAAGGCAGCTCTCAGCGACACCAAAAAGGTACAGCAGCGTCTGTCTATGGTTTCAAGAGAGAATGTTGTAGAGCAGGTCGGAGTATGGGGGAGTGTTTTGCTCGTCCCGGCCGTGTTCGATGTATGAAAGAAGTTGTCGAAATGCTGCTGTTTTCTCCGAAACCGAACCGAAGAAGAGCCAGACAATGCACATGCCCACAACTGTAGCGGTAGCCAGCGCTTGCGCCCCCGAGCAAAGCATGGCACTCCCTTGCTTCACGACGAAACCATCAAGGGTCTGTGAGGCTTCCTCCGATTTTTCCTGTTGCGTCGTTGACCCCCATGGCGGCGCCGACGACAGGTAGAGCGTGACATCGCCTACTTCCTAACTACGGGTCGCTTGCAGGACACTTCGTTCTGTTGATGCCAGCAATGCCAGCACAAAGCAAAAACTCAGCGGGAGGGCTTTACATTAAAACATGGTTCTTTGTTACGTCATCCATGAACGTACAGCAGCTCTGGCAAAATGCGTCGTTCGATGAGCCATGGTCACGGCACTTTCGCCATTCCTACCGAGTATTTTCACTCGAATGTATTCTCAACGATAACAACTCCGTAATTGTCGAAGATCGTATGTCGCCCCCAGCCTCGACAACGCCGCGTTCCCTTTTTCTACATGGTCACACCGACACACGGCGGCCCAAAGCGAACAAAAGGGCGCGCCCACGTCTCACTTCGAAAAAGAGAACAACATCTTCCGGCAATAGTCAGTTGTCATCACACACGGTAAAGCAAGGCGGGTTCTTTCTTGGCCCCCACAAAAGCCATCGTGGGGAGGGAACGCGGCCATGATGAGACCAGACACGCGCCGTGCATAAAATCTCCTTCCTAATCAATAACCGGCGCTTCTCTCCCATTTGAATCCAGGTCGCAGACTCCCACGCCAATGCAGATATGATGAGAGAAAACGGAGGAGGCCTCTCTGTGTCTTTATTTAGCCTTCGCCGCAGCAGCGATCGCCGCCGCTTCTGCCTGCAGCTTGATCTCTTTCTTGATGCGAGCCTTCTCCTTGGCGTAGAACTCGTCCGCTGCTCCCGCAAGGAATCAAACCCCAAAAAATAAATAAAAAAAAACGTTTGGGACACCAAGAACAGGTTAAAAAATAAAAAAGCACGCCAAATGTCGAACAAGGCGAGCGCGGTCGGGGTGGTTCGGTTCACTGCAGGCATGCTCCCAAACCGCGTCAAACATACAAGATCAAGCGGAGCATTCCACAACGTTTTTATGAAAAAACAAGCGACGGCTTCGCCAAGCAGAGAATAGGCGGGACCATTGGGGGTTGAGGGCCCTTTCACTTCTTGACTGCCCAGAATTTCTGCCATGAGAGCGCCACGTACCCTCCCATTCCCTTGCGAAAAAAAAACAGTAGTCCACGCCGGTGTTTTTAAGCAAGCAAACATGCTGGATCAAGTACAGAAATGGCGGAGCTGCGCTTGGGGTTAACGTTAGGATTAGGGTCTGCGTGCCCCATGCCTGGTCAATTTTCAAAATAAATATACTCTCCTTGCTTAGGCAGTCCAAAAACAAAAAGGGACGGCACCGTGCTCACCTTTTCTTCGGACGGCCTCGCTCTCCACAACGTCGTCCACGAGCTCTGGGATCGCCGTCGCCGGGCCCTCATCGTCCTCCAGCCCCGCTTGCTTCTCGTAGTACAGCTACGCGACCAAAAAAAAGGGAAAATGAAGCGACAACGCCCGCAAAAAAATAGTCAGCAGTCAGTCGTGCAACGCAGACCTATCGAAGGGAAAACTCGCCCATCGTCCGACGTTTACACCTTCGTACAGCAGCAACACTTTCAGCACAAGCGGGTCGCTACATGTGCATGGCGCCGGTAGACGTTGTTCGTTATCGCCATTTACTCTGAGCGATACGTCTTTTCACATTTTTCGCTGCGATTCTGGACGCACGCACCAGCCGGGGTCACACAGGACGAAGGTTGCTTTGAAAAGACAGATATTAATGCACAGCCAGGAGAAAGCCACCCACGCACACACAGACATGGTCTTTAGGAACATTTTCTGTTATAAGCCGCACGGAGACTGACGTCTCTTCATTTTGGCCAGCCGGTAACTGTAGTGCGGTCGATGCTTGTAAGAAAAACACAGACACAAACGGTTCACGTTTCAACGGACGGCACACAGGAGTGATCGCTTTGAAAAGATAGATTGCTCAAGAAATAAAAACGCTATTTATTTAGTACGCACACCTTCTTCTCGAGCTTGAAGAGGCGGCGCCGCTCGGCCTTCCAGGTGCCCTTGGCCAGCCGCTTCTTTCGGACAGCTTCGATGGGGTCTGCCTCCTCTAACGCCATGCCCTCTCTCAGCTGACGAACAAATCAACACAATATCCACACACGCAAGCAAAGGTGAAGTCAGAACAAGACACGGAAAATAAAAAATAAATATTCACAGAGTAATGAAACACAACCCTTTCACAAAGCCCAAAACCACGGTCACACACGCAAGCACAGGTAGAATACGAAAGAGAAAAACAAAGGGTCACATGAGCTGCCGATACGTAGATGAGGGTATCGTCCACCAGCATTCCACGTGTTTCATTCAGCTTGGTTAGCTTCGTGTCAGCATTGCCCCTCCGCATTCGGCAAGCCCCCCATCACTTGCGACCCACATGACCGTAGGGTTAGAAGGCGGACTCTGCTGTTCATGGGCCAACACGAAAAAAAAAAAAAATCAACGAGAGGTAGATGATCACCTTATCTGTGACCGCCTTTCGCTGCTCGTCAATCTCTTCTTTCTCCCACCTGCAAGTCGATAGAGAGTGAAACGCCGCGCGGGACAAGGCCGGACAGAAACGTGTATTAATGGGGAAAGAGATGCGCAGCAGTCCGTCACACAGACGGCGGGGAAGCCTAAGGGGGTGAGGAAACGCCGACGCGGTTAACACCCCCCTCAAAAATGAAACCTTGATACTAGACAAATTCGAACAAAAAAAAAAAATGTGGGACAAGAGATCAGATGTTGAGTGAAGCCGTCGTTCTTTGAGGAACGTTCCTGACGGTCTCGTCAGAACCCACAGCAAGGAGAAACTTTTCCTACAAGAGTGGAGGGAGGCTCGTCTTGTGGAAAATCGTTCACGATTTTTCGATCTAGCAACTTGTTCAAACTTGCACACCATGCATCACCCACACACATACGCGCACACAGCCTGCTCAATGATCACGTCCACGCGGTCGAAGGCAAACACCACGGTTGGCTGCACATATCACACAACCCTTCATAGCCGCCTTGTCTATCGCCTTTCCTCCTTTCAACTTTTTTTTCAACCCGGTTTCTTTCGTTCGCAAATAGAGCACTCTACGTGCTTTCTTCTGGCGGCCCCCGCGTCACCACTCACTCCAGCGCCGACATGACGATCTTCTGCCTGGCGGCGTCCTTGGCCCGCCTCTCCTCCGCGCTAACAGGGCCCGCCTGAGACAAAAAAATCAAAAGGATAACAAGGTCTTATGTGATGCCCGCCTTGATCATTGGGTTGCTTCATCATGCAGGTCTTTTTGGGACGAGCTCTGCTCCTCGCTTAGAAACCGCCCGCATTCGGGCCGTCCAAACCATTTCCCCGTCGTTGTTCACACCGCCAGAATACTCAGAAAACAGTTTCGATGATGCATATCGGTTTAACCCCTGATCCCCTCCATGGATGCCGTGAACGAGGGAGAAAGGCAACAAGAGAACAAACAAAGGCCAATACTGCTGAAAATTAGGCTGTACGTCAGCCAGCAACAACAGAGACCAGTGCGGCCGCCGACAACAGCATGCCAAAAGGAAACCAAAGAACCCGAGTCGCGCAGCAGGAATAAACAAAACATGAGCCCCGGCAACGCAGGGAAAAACTACAACTTCAGCGGATGATCCATGAACGAGCGTTTTGAACTTAGGGCCGCATACTATTCCCCGTGAAGGGGCGCACAGCGGGCGATGAGCACCGAGAGTGCAGAGTCACAGCACGCCGGCCCTTTTCGAACGAGAGGTCTTCGCTGACGGGCATCGGGCATTTTCACGACGCACCCATCCCCTCCTCACCATTTCATCGACTTCAAGCACCAGGTCCGGAAGCAGCTGCCTCTTGGCCTGCGTCAGCACCGCCCTCAGCTGTTTACGGATGGGGTACGGTCACCCGCGCGGACGGCGTCGATGATGCAGGCAGGCAGGGAGGGGTCATCGGGCAAGCGGCAGGGGGAAAGGATGGGTATCTCCTTGTTGTCACGCAAGCACGGTCTCGACGCCAGGGAAAGGGGGTTACTGTCTGCTTGTTGTCATGCAAGCATAGCCTTGGCTCAATCTGGAACAGAGGGAGAGGGGGAGGTGGTGGGGGTTGTCGGCTCTTTAACAGCTCGGAGGGGCGGTTGAACAGAATCGATCCCTCCCCGTGGTGCGCTACGGTTTTGATATCGCAGAGCCCACGTGCATCAGATCTACTTGCGGTGTCGATTTCGTTCCGGAGCTCCGCGTGCCACGTGATAGCATCGTCCAGCACGCGCCACCATTTGAGAACCTCGTATATTTTCCTCAGCCCGTTTCTAATTCTGTCGGCGAGGCAAATAAACTTAAAAAAAAGTACAAGCTCTCATAATCTTCCTGATTGCTTCAGTCAGTATTGGTCCACTTCTCAATACCTGCCGATTCCTGAGCCAGCGATGACCAATTCCAGACCCTGTCCGTTCCCGGACCCAAATTTCGCAGTTGGATAAAAAAAGAGGCGGCGCGTACTCGAACCATATCAATCAACTCGCTCGTCTTACTCACATTCGACTGCAGCGCCATGGAGGGCCGCCCAACCACGGCCTCGACATCCCTCGGCACGCCACGGCGCCCCCTACCACGCCCGCCGCCTTCCGCCGCCTCCGCCGCGGCAACGCCGGCGGCAGTCCTACCCGTCCTCTTCCTCGCCAACGACATCCAGTCCCCCGTGAATGCCTCCAGCTCCGGTCCGGAAACCCAGCGCTCTCCGTCCTTGTCGTCCTCGTCCCCTGTCCCCTCCCCCTCGGCGGTGGTGGCCTCCTCGGTTGTTGAAGACGAGGTGGGAGGAGGAGAGGCCATCATGGAGGCGTTAACCTTTGTCGCAGGCGAGGGCATCGGAATCAGAAAGGACAACAAACAAAAACAAGAGCGAGACACAC